TTTTTGGAAACAGTGACGTCACGGCATAACCGTGACGACAACTAATTAACACAATGTCACGATATGTTCAAGATATGACCAAAGCAGTGTTAATTTCACTTGACAACCAGAGATTCCAGTGATACAAATTGTCTAATAAAAGAAAATAAACCTACAAGACCCCCAATTTACGTTACTTCGCCCTCACCGACGGGCTCACTTGCACGTCAGCCTTTGTAAGGCTAGATTGACCAACAATGACAACATTTTGTGCATGATGTTTGATTTACAATATAACCCTCACGGAAGGATTTATTGAACGTAAAGTTTTGGACACATATGATTTGTTGTGAAAGAATCCAACGTGGAGAAAATGAAATACGACATTTTAAAATCTTACGACAGCGCGGATAGCGCGCATGTAAAACATTGAATTTTGTATACGTAGCATATGGACCCATTCGATCACGGTACGTTGCGATGGCTGTGCCGCTTCAATCATTCTACGTTTAAAATATATCTTTGTCAATATTGTAATATCAGACAAAGACTAGTCATGTTTATAAATTAAAATGCCTTAAGTTAGCGGATGAATACCGCCCATAAAGAACTCCACTGTGGTCAGTTAACCTTTAATCTCTTCTTTGACACTGGCTCGTTTTTACATTTTTTCTGTGTCAAGCGATAATGGTACTCCTTGTACTGACACTCATTTAAATTGTCTTCAGCGAACAAATCACTGTTTTACACAATTTCTATGGAATCAATGGTATGAGTTCATGGCGGTAAATCGGTCAATAATTGATGAAACCCTAAAAGATTCGTGGGTAATAGACGTCACCGATGGTTTTTCCAGCCAATGAAAACATCTCCTATAGATTTAAATGAAGAGCAAATACCAAATTCACGCTTTCATGAAACCCGGTGTACGGAACAAAACTTATTAAAGGGGCACCTTCCAGTTAAGCCTAATCTCACAACAAATTTACATTCTGGATTAAAATAACAATGGATAACAAAAGATAGATTAACATTGTAAACAACATAAACAACAGTGTCCCATGATTCTTTGGTACAATCCATGGGATTGAGCGGTTTCCCTTTAAATAAACGTAAACACAGTATGGTCATCGAGGCCAATAGGCAATTGTGAGCTGTGTGTTGACCTCTCAGTCATGTCAGTAAATTATGCCCATGAACATTGTATTGAACGACGAGGGCGCTGTAAGCAGTCGCTAAGCTGTCTATTTTTGTTTTAATAAACGTTATCTGCGTGGTCAGAAGTGAGCAATATACATTATGGGCTCATACCACTAATTTCCATAGACGACAATGTTAACATATGACGAGATAGCTATGTGAAAATGATAAAGAAAGTTGAAAACATGGCTCAAAAATGGGAAATCAACATGCCAGTAATAAACCATATGAAAAAAATAACATGTTGGCCAGCTCAAACTCTTGCAAATCTCAGGTAAACAAGACACACCTACTGTATTTGGATTGCACCAAGAGAAATTACTGGAAAGATTAGACCAAGATTAGAACATCCAAATACACACAGAATAAACCCACAGGTACACAGCCGCTAAGTAGTAAACAAAAGACCACATGTTGGTCTCACCTTTGACCCAGGTGATTACGCCCTCAAACAGGGAGCACCTGAGAAAATAAATGTTTAAAAAATTTCATTGGTTCTTGCAAGGCATTTAAATTGGCTACGAGCAGCCATTGGTTGATTAGTAGCATGAGACCTTAAGCTATGCATATTGCAGGAACTCGCAGCCATCGTGGTAATGCTAAACGTTGACTGCAGTAACGATTTATTAAGTTTGGCTGCGAAACTTGCTCAAATCATTCAGAACAAGCAGATATACACTCCAAGCTCTCAACAGATTATTTATTCCGGTAAATTTATCACAATTTTAGGGCGCTGTTCTTTTCCTCATTTACAGGGTATCAGAAAAACTAAACAAAGCATGGAAATACAGTTTTATTCTTTAGATTACAGTTGCATTAAATTTCAAATATAATGTTTAGCCAAAAATATCCCATGAAATAATTTAAATGAATCGAAGAGCTTATTGTCAAGTGTCAAGATATTTGTGTTAAATCTACAGTCACTGTACATTTACATTATGCAAGGTAATACGAAATGTAGTTTTGTAGTTGTTTTATCAGTAGAAATTTATTGGTTTGAAGAATATGACGTCCGAAAAACCTCTTTGGCAGCGAAAGTTTTTGAAAACGTCTATTTGGAACAATTATAACAGTGAACACAAGTCAGTAATTTATTCATAATTTCGGTAGATATTAGAATAATTTGAAGACAGTGTTACAGTAAGAATGCACAGCTATGGAGTATAACATCTCAGTTATATCGTCGATCGTATTTGATACAAAAATAGTTGTTCTGCTGAAAAAACTGTTGTGATTTACAATAAAGCTATTAAGATTATGCCACAATCACCAACGTATTTTTTCAGATCAAATAAAAGTTCATGATATCAGTCAACTCTCTGCAATCAGTACTTTGATTGGCTGGAGTGGCGGACATTCTGAACAGCGCGACGTCACTGAAATAATAATTTACGCGTTGACATCGCGTGAGCATGTTTTTTTAATGATTTAATTAAAATCTCTCGTCTATGATTATTGTAATCACGCAATGATAAGTATTTCGTGATTTAATGTGTCATAAAATTGTACAGTATTGTTCAATAAAAATAACTGGGACTTGTATCACCACCAAACTGACATCAATTGCATCACTTAGTCGAGTAAATGATCATGTGGTTTCCATAGCTAATGTAGAAATACGATACTTGAATCTTCGAAAACAAAGCAGTGATTAGAAATAAATGTAATATTGTCTGGGTTAAACTAGGTGGCAATCAATGTCGGATTCATCCAGGTTCATCACGTCCGTCCAAGCTCGCTGGCGTTGGTCTGCCGTAGTCGGTCCACTGGAAATTAGTCGGCTGTTCCGTCAGTTTCACGTCTTCTACCGCCGAGGCGTACAGTACCGCAATATAGCGAAGTGGGCAACCCAGGGGTCACGGTCACGGTATTAAACTTTGAACGCCGAACTGTAAAAGTCAACTTTCACAATAAAAATATATCTTCACAAACGTTTTGGCCGTTAATATTATGACGTCCAATACTTATCATGAACATCCATTGTGATTCATTTGCAATGGTATTTTGTATAAGTGAGAACAAGTCCCTTTGGAAAAAAGTCTCCATGGAAACATGTCACTTTAAGTTGCTACTTGTGCACACTTAATGGGCCAGGACGTATAATAGGAAACACGCGCTACCAGAACTATATTTGAATCATCTAATAATAAATCGTGTTCGATATAAATAGTGGGTCTCAACTCATCAAACTTGTAAAGATTCATATTCGTCACGCAACGCGCTCAAAATTCTTGTATTTCACACGCGTTGTGTGAAGGACATCGTTACAATTCACCAATACAAGGTTATCTGAAGAATAACTTTAACGTTTACCATTAAATGGTGGTTTTGCAATAATGAACAATTGTCTCTCACCTTTAGATCGTAAATAAACTTAAAAATAACTTATCAACGCGTGTTTACATTTTGCATTGATGCTTTGTTAATGTCAAGAACGTCGTACGGTACTCACCAAAAGTGGGAGTTTTGAATAATCCACGAATATAGTGATTAATGTCGATGAGAGCAATGTTACCAGCTCAACAAATGTCAATGCAGTTGTAAAGATGCATGCTAAAACTGCGCGCGTTTTACCTAATTTTGGCGCTAGTTGAGCAAAGACGATTTATTTTTTATCTACTTGCTCTCAGTATTTTGTAGGCTTCGTATATTCTCGGTTTGTTGACTCTTTGTTCTACTCATAGACGACAAGGAGAGACAAAAAGTCTCCATGGCAACTCAACGAGTACCGGGATGAAGAATGTAATGTAGCCTTTAATGCGGTCCAAATCCAAAACTAGGCCGAAAGTCAGCTGTTCGTGTCATACGATCGAACAAGGAAGCCATCGTTAGTTGTTGCATGCCATTTAAGCTCCTTGGTCTCCTACGGCATTAATGTTCAAACTCCATTGCAGAAAAGATAAAGCATCCTTCAACCAAAGAAAATTACGTTTGTGTTCTCTAATTATTAATTGGACATTACGCATGAGCCGTGTTTTAAAGTTTGATATAAACAATAAAAATCGGCCGTACAAATGGAACAGTAATCAAAATGAAATGAAATCTACTTGCAAAAACTGGGAATTTTTTTCTTGAATCAACATCGAAAATATTGTAATGTTTGATGTTTCAAGCCTGCCAAAACACTGTAAATACATTAATCCCAATTTAATGATCATAATGTCTCTATTTTCACAGATAAGTGAGATCCACTAAAATAGAACTTGTACTGAAAAAAATCAGGAATTTAAATCCTGGTGAAATAGTTAAATTAGACTATATGATAAACGTGAAAATTAATGCTTTTACAGTGGGGAGGAGTGTAATATGCAAATTAGTTTATTTGAGAGAACATCATTGCTGAAATGTCAAGAAAGCATGTTCAATTTTCTATTAAATGAGCTTCAAATCTTCCTTATTATTCGAGACGAAATGGGATTCCTTTGATAAGTGTTTTACCTTGCAAAGCTTTAGAATATTCGTCTGCATGATCGAAAAGTGCCATACACACCCGCGGGTCCATACTAGGCATTCGTATATAGCGATAAACAAGGAAGTATTGATTTTAATTTTTTTTTTGTAAACTGTCAGGCGCATACGATAGAGTCTGCTCGTCACTATTTTATAATAGCTATTGCCTGCCCCAACGCCCATCCCGATTCTCCAATTGTTTCAGTAGCACGCGCCGGGGCGAGCCAAAAGTTAGAGACCACACGGCGGGCGGTTAAGTACTTACAATAGCCCACGATAAGTAAATTGGCGTTTAATAGATAACAAAATTGCCATTATTTGGAGGAGGTTTATTTTGGCTTTGTTTGCAGTGCATAAGAAGTCTGGATAAATATGTACACCACGTCAGAAAGCCAACGACACCCTTGTCAGTTCGAACCAATTTGCGGCGCAGAATCGTATTACCAGGAGGGCAACGACGAAAACGAAAACATGAAATACGCAGCTTTAAATACCAGTTCCGTGACGAACAGTACCATTTATGTGGAAAACACGGACGAGAATTTGGAAAATCATCATGTTTATCCGTCGTGTGCGTACAGTGGTCAGGAACAAACTTACTTTTACCAAGAAACGAACACTTACCCCGCCATCTCATCCGAAGAAGACTACGGTAGTCAAGGGTTTTACCCTGATGATTCGACCATGCATGAGTGTGCCACCGATGTCGAAGTTGAAAAACGCGGCCAACGCCGGAGACGGATCGCCACCGCAAATCCCTACGTCGTCCAACGACATGCGGCTAATATCAGAGAACGGAAACGTATGATGAGCATAAATTCAGCGTTTGAAGAACTAAGGTGTCATGTGCCCACCTTTCCGTACGAGAAAAGACTGTCAAAAATCGACACCCTTCGCTTAGCAATCGCCTACATCGCCCTACTCCGTGAGATTCTTCTGTCTGGGTGTCCGCCCATGGTGTATGTTGAAAGGTGTATGAAGTCTGGATTCAAAGACGGAAAGTCACCGATTTGGAACACAAGCGGTAAGCTTCCTTTAATTTTACGTTTTAAAAATGATTACAGTTAAAAGTACCTCTATCTATCACACCGCACCGTATTCGATGTAGGTCCATCCGTGTCAACCGTCACACCGGGCCGTGTTCGTTGTCGGTTCCAAGCGACCCATACAACGCTGTGAAATACATTGTTTTTTTTTCACGGAATGCTAACGCGCTACGCGACTATGATGTAATGTTAATGATACAAGTACACCACGTTATTATGACAAAATTTCAAGTTTATGTTTATTTCTGTGTAAAAAATTCTTTTGTATTGTAATATTGTTATATATTATCTTGCTCAGATTTAACAGCTCGACTTTCCTGGATAAAGTGGGACTGACTAGGCGTGAAAGATTCTACAAACTGTCAATGAAGATCCTTGAACAGAAGCAAAGCAACCGCATTCCTATGGTACAATGTATGTCCCCGAAAAGAAAAGGAATGAAGATACTTGGAAAGTTCCCGTGACTGAGCGAATTGGACGTGATTGCAAAGAAGCAAAGTAAAAAAACGAACACTGAGACGCAAAGTTTATTTATAGGATATTATTTGATATTTCAGTTTTGATGCATAATAATATCAGACTTCGAAAAGAATGCTTAATGGCAAACAGACTGTTCACTGGTTTCAAAGAACAAACAACACGTTGTTTGTGAAACATCTTCCGGTTGTATTTTCAGGTTGCACTTTTGAGTTCACAATTTACTCAAATTGTTTAAATTAAAGTATTTACTTGTATTAACTAAAGGCGATGTGTTCGATTTCAAATTCGCGTACGTTGGGTACTAGTAGACGGTACACATACGACTCGAGTAAAATTGAAGAGGCCATTTTATTAGTATCTACGTCATCACCTGCCCGGTACGCAAAGAAGTGACGGATGATAGGGGAATCATTAAATCGGTGACTGTTACTAAATACATTAATGCTCACTTAATAGCCAAGGTATACATCTACCCAATCTTCCTTTAAGTGTCATTGGTTTGTTTATCACAACAAAATGAGCGGTTCTTATCTTTTCCTTTTTTGTTCGCTAATACCGTAATTTCAATTAATTTGGGGGTTTTGAGTAAATCTGGTTACTTGTGTAAACGTGTGTCGGACTGACGCCGGGCACACTTTCTATAATTTTCAACGCGTGCTGTGACACTTTAGAATATTATGTTTAATTTTGAAGGAAATATGCATCGCTCGGGCTGGAGAGTGCGCTGTTTCAACCGTACTGCCATGGCCAGAGTAGGTTATGCTAACTTGAGCCAACACGAGTCACCTATATATAATATACTAGTCTATATATAATATACTAGTATCACAGTCGGTTGCCTGCATGGTAAATGGACTTTTTCACGTTGCACAATAAAGGTGCCTCAAGGGCTGCCAAATTAGCCTCGCCATTGTCAAAGGCGCATGTACACTGTGTTAAGGCTACCTTCGAACAAAGAACTGACCAGTGACACACAAGTATTGCCTCGTGTGGGTCACTATAGTATAGGAGACAGTTTCTTGGAACCGGAAACTGTAACTTAGTAAAAAATGTGTCTGTTGTTGTCTAATTGCTCGGAAAAACACAATTAATTGAATTGACAACAAATGTTCAGGAAAGGTCACTTGATAACGAAGTAACTAGTGGCCACCACTTAGAAATGTTCACAAACTTTCCTGCTTTGCCGGTTTTCCTTAAAGTTTACTTGAGAGTAAAAAAACTGTATAAAGAGCTACATAACAACTTCAATTGAACGTTCGCCACAGCATTGGTGTTCAGTGTTCCACGGCAGTATCGACAATCAAAGGAATTGTAACATGTATATATTTGTATGGGTTACCTTGTCTCGATTGGCCGTCTCCATCCCGTTAGGTTGCTTTGCCTCGATTGGCGATCTCCACCCGAAAGGTTACCTTGCCTCAGTCGGCGATCTCCACTCCGACATTGGCGGTCTCCTCACTAGACGGATTACATTGCCAAGATCAGCGGTCCCCATTCGCTCTGCACAAATGCATCCCACATTGCAAATTTATTTTATTTTGGTTGAATTCTACACTATATGCAACTCTATTGCGAGAGCGTAACCTGCCTATTTCTCCATCATATTTGTTAACATTATTTCTGAACATACGATACAGGCCATATTTTTTCAAAATTTGATCGTTTTAACCTCCATGCATGGTCTAACTCACTTAGGATAGGTCTCAAGGTCTTGCAAATTACTGTATTATCTCGACAATATCAATCGTCTCCATCGCAAGTCAGACTTTTCACACCTCCATCCTTTATTAGAGTCGTCTGCAGCCGACTTGATCTGGGCACTTTACAACGACCCGGGTTGACAAACGTATTGTTGACAGTGACGGGCCGGAGGACACGTGCTCGCTTAGTAAGGACAAAGTTGTTGAAGTAGAGACACTCAATTAACAAAGCATTTTGTACTTCAGTTCACGTTCTACTCGTGTTTCTCTTACACTGAATGAACCCGTAACACGGTGTCAAACAACTGCTTTGATTCAAGTTTTTCACTTGCCCGTTGTTACACTCGAGACAAGATCCAACTGCATTATGATGTAAATACTCTACCCCAACATGCCCGAGGTTCAAGTTGGATCATTGTCAATGGTTTCGTTTTAATAAACGTCTGTCTTCAGTGTTTTCTAAATAAATTGTACTGGAGTATCTCGTGGGAAAACTCGGCTGATTAATATCAAGCATAGAGCTGTATCATTAAACTGGAAATGTTCGAAAAGGGAACCGATGAGTGAAGGTAAGATATCCGGCGTTAGTATCTGTAGGACCGCGGTGTCATCAGTTTTGCTGGAAACATATGATATGCTTCACATTTCGCTACGAATACCAGAATCCTGAAACAAACATACGTAAACATGGGTCTAACACTTTTCGATTATGGTGATCAAAAGCAAATGATGACTGCCTAAGTCAGGACATCAAAATTTTTTTCAGCGAACCTGCGGCTGGCGCATTTCGATTCCAGCGTTTTAAATCTGGTGCACCCCATCACCAGACATGAAAGCTTCAGGCCCATCCAGAAAACGTCATATCTAAAAACAAGTATTGGTTGACGCAGATGAGTGAGAATACTGAAGATTAATAACGATATCGACATAGTTCGATTCAAATGAAAATATCTGTTTTCATAACAGAATGATTTAGTATCATTTAATCCGAGGATTAGTTGAGAGTCAATTAAACAATATTTCGTTAGGCTAGAGCTATATGGTGTCGCCGACATACAATATCGTCCGTCATATACACGTGTGCAGCGGCTGCAGACTCGAGTGATCGATGCCACTCTATTGATAAAGTGGTTGCTGAAATGAGACACAGAATGTGTTGCCAATTACACTCGCTATAATAAGTCCTGAAATAGGATACTAGAACGTGGGCAGGTAGTTCACTGAGTTAAACACTCTGCTTATACTTTTAAATAGTACATTAGAGTGCCATGAAAGTGTCGCAATACAAAGTTGTATTCTTTAGCGTGACGGTTGACTGCGTGAAGTGCCGTAGTATATATGGTAAGCGTCGCGGCGTTTCATTCACGCAGATATGTTTGATAGCGGGTAACATCACTTCGTAGGTACAAACTGTTAGATCTAGTAGTGAAATTCTTTATGTAATTCTAGTAATTTATCATACGTAATATACAATGTATTCTCCCAGTGCCATCGGCCCGGTCCCATCAAGTTCCAGTAACTGCTATGTAGACATAGATGCGGGAACACAATTGTACAGTTTACTCAAAAGAGAAAGTACGTCAGATCCGCGCTAACGTTTGACAAATTTCGTCATATATTGAACAATTTTCCAACCGAAAGCATGTTTTTTTTTATTTTTCTCTATGCCGTACAATATGGAATATGACATTACGTAGCTGTACATCTCATCGTACAGAGCACCATCTACCTTTTTTTCGGATTACGTATATATATCACAACGAACGAATAATAAATAGGAATAAACTCTTAAATTAAATTAATTTAAGCTGATTCTATAATCGTTAAACCATCGTAATGTACCGAGACACCTGCACAGTACCAATAATTAATACAGGCCTCGTTTGTAGACAATTTAGAGCTGATAAGCAGTTAGCTAGTGGGTAAGTGTTCGATAGTGTAGGTGATGAGCTGAATACAGTTCAACAATGTGTTTTCTTTGTACGCGGATCTGTTTTTCTTTTTGAAAAGCGTTTTTGCCGATCGATATTGCCACTACATGCAGTTACGTGCAGTCGCCCTGGGCCCTGGCAAACTCAAATGTGCAAAGAACAGTTTAATGTGTTGATTCTTGTTAATAAACTTGAAATTTAACAATGTACGTAAATTCACGTTTTATGTATAAAGCCTCAAAACAATACCGCCAGGCAAAGATGTTAAGTCGTATTCTTCGTTTCGCAGTGATTTACCGCATATCCCTCTTCGTCCTTGGTTTTCAGAGTAAATTGCCGATCCACTTTATATACTCGGTTCACTGAAAAAGTATAAATACAAGACCATTTATCGCGATTTGACGAAACGACTTGAATTCATTGTAATTTCATATGTACGAGTGAAAGGACATTGGCGTACTAAGCACACTGGATACAGTATACCATTTTCGGTTAACGTAACGATGGCCACTCTTTTGAAAGATATTATTATGAGCGTCGATACAAAACACTCAAGTTACCATAAACTCAAGTTGTTATTGCGTAGCGACAATCGGTGACAGTATAAGACATCTTCATCAACCTGGTATTTTTTTTATTTGAATTAATGTTTTTGAAAACAAAACTAATGCATTGCCTCTGTGTTGTTTGCATATTATTTTGTTACAGCTAGGGATACTGTAATTGTACGCCACTATTGACAGACACTCGACGATGACTAATTCATTTTACCTGTTGTTCTGGCGTCGCGTATGAATCGATACCAGGAAGTTATATCATTTAAACATACCTGAGACATTATCAATACGTTATCATCCGATGCGACGAATACAACTTTTGGTTACATGACTCGAAAATCACTATTAAATTTGATAAATCATTTATGCTAGGCTCAGTTCCGCTGAGTGGCCAGACAAAACAAATCAATATATTACAGATAATCACATTTTTACTGACCTTTGTCCACAGTTAAAAATTTCAAGTTTAGTAGATGTAACAGGGCGAATTTCGATCATAACGGTTTGACGCCACATACACGACGTGTCGAGTAGTTTGTTTGTTTTTTTTTATAAAAAGACAAGCCATCAGAAAGAATATCGATACGAAATTTTGTTTAAAAAATGAGCCCCGAGCTTTTTTTTCCTCTCACACAATTCATTTCCATGGTAACGATTTTAAGTATTCACGCCCAAACGGTTAACCGCTTATTAGCGGAAGACG